TCTTTTTCTTTGCGACTCTCGCCTTTCATACTGATCTAGATATTAAAAGGTTGTACTCTTATATTAAGCATAATTTCTTCTAAATTATATTTTCTTATAATTGGAATTAAACATTTATACTATATCAATATGCATATGGATAATTATTAAAGATAAAAATGAAAAAGAATTCTTTCGTTCAGATTATATATCGTTTAAAGCATATAATCGAATTATTATCGCAATTATAACTTATGTTACAATTCATGATGATATAGTTCATGAGACTTGATCCTGCGTGTATCTGTGTACTACGAGCATTTTTGTACATAACAAAGGAAACAAATGGTAAAAGAACAATAGTCTTGCAAATATTTCGAAAAATTGTATATCCTTCAAAATTAACTGATCGTTTTCTAACTATTACAAACTAGGGAAGATATCGTAAAGTTTGCCGTATTAGTCTTCCTTTGATTCTAAGAAACGTTTGAAATGGTGGATAGAAAATGCGATGTGTTATAAGACGACGTGAAGAACAAGGTACTCGTACATGAGAAAAATAGAACGAGAAATACGTGCACGTGAACAGTAAAGAGCACTACGTCGAAGGAATACATGAAAAATTGGAACAGTTTTGTCGCGGAAAAATGATTTCGAATCCGAGTCGTGAGATAAAATTGTAACGTCGTTCGATTATGATTTAGTACAAGTGTAATTTAATTACACTTTCGATTCTATTAGTATCTCTCTATTAAATATCGTGTTTAATTTTTTCTCGATTTTCATTTACAAAGTTTCAATTTGTCTATGAGTTTCCTTACAATTTTGAAGAACCTACTTTGAACATCGATTTGCTAGGAATCGATCGAGTAAATAATTCTTTGATATTTCAACTTCAATCCAGTGGACATCGATGTATAGCAAATATTGGCGATTCGTTAGTTATATATAGATGTACATGGCTGCACGAGGCATGCAAGTTCTTAACATTGTGAACTTCTTATTTGATTTGACCCTTTAAGCAGCCGAAGGCGGAATTACCTCGTATTCTTTTTCCACTTATCTTCATTGGCAAGCACCAGGTGAAGTTGGAGATTTCGTTCGTTTCGTAATAAAGACCAGTTATTATAGACAGGTCATGGACACAATCGCTCTTTCGTACGATTTTATTTTTAATTCCGCTATAGAGATAAAGAGGACATTATTTAGGTCAAGTTATCTTTTATTATTTTTTTACAATATAGAAAAACACTTATTCATATATATGAAGGAAGGACGAAACCTAGGAAAGAGAAGAATAGAGGAGTGTGGAGAAAATGATGAGAAAGAAGAGAAGCAGAAGAGGAAGATTTAGAAACATGAGAACGAAGGAAGAGTGGAAGGAAAGAAAGCGTAGAAAAGGGAGAAATTGATACTGCAGCACAGATTAAAGTCACTGTAACCTCATACTTAAAGTAGTTCGCGCCATTAAGTCGTCCTTTTTTGACGTTTACCATAAATTTATCCTGTTAGCGTTTCAGGAATAAAAGAAGAGCTCTAAGTATAGAGTATATAGTTCAACTTCGAATAATATGGATTTGGGTTAGCATGGCTGTTTAAAATAAAATTAATATACCTAAATGCAATAAAGTTACTAATATTTCAGGCTATTCCGAAAGTTATATTTAGCTTAACTTTCTTATGTTCTAATCTTGTATTATCGTATATCCTAAACAGCGATGAGTATATAATTAAACAACGTTAAAGGATTATAAAATTATTCGAGAATTAAACGAGGTGTTCACCATGGTTTCGTTATATCGTTTGCGAATATCTCGATTGTCCTCTCGGAATTATTTAATATCAATTTTATGTTTTCACGAAATAACCGCGAAGAGTTATTCGATGCAGAAAAACATTAATTCAATATTCGGTCGAGCGTCATACGTCAAGAGTTTTGATATTCTCCGTAATGTATGCTGTCATAAAATATGAAACCTAATGGAAATACGACGATATCTTATAAAGCATAAAACGACATAACTCCGCATAAAATATTCAAATAGGAACGTTTAATAGATCATTATAAAATATTATTCCATATTAGGGGTACCGTTCTACTGTATTCGAAAGCATCGATACTACGATTCAACCAATATGGTTCGATACTTGCCCCGAAACGTTGTTTCGAAATTCGATATCCGTCATTACGTATTCCGCCATAAAACGTGAAACGTAATAGAAATAAGGCAATACGTTGTAAAAGATGAAATGTTAGATAAAACGAAAACGTGACTCTCGGCGGGGAAATTTTTATATTATATTCTTTTTCTACCCTATCATGAACTACTTATTTTGTACGAACGTAGGAAGCATTGTTTTACATGTTCCATGATATCGGTTAATATGATTTTAAAATATATGATATTGCTGCAATGCTGAGGTACTTGAATAACAAAATCTTTTAATAGAAAATTACAAAATATTGGATTTTATATTAAATGAAAATACGGATATCATGCAACGTTGCTTGTTAATGGCATTTGATATTCCATGCACAATAAAAAGAACGTAACGATCTCGTTTTTGTTTCTCTTTTTCACGGAAAGAAACAAAAGAAAGAGAATATTGGGAGAAATCAGATTTTCCTGGAAAATATTGCCTCAAATGGATTGAACGAAGAACCGTGTCCTTTACGAATTTACAAAGAACTTTACAAATTTACGAGAAAGACTCAAAAATTTTTGACTAGGGTAGATTTACGTTAGTAACATTCTTCGCCGCTGTAACATATTTAGCTGCGAAATACAAAATACGAACAATACGAACAATAAGAGAAAACGGCAATATTTCACGAAAGTTGAAACGGTGTCGCGGAAGTTGTTCTCCGATTGTGGAAACGCCGCCAAGAAGGACGATCGGTCACGAGGGAGAAATTTCAACAGGGGCGTGCAAATCGCTCGCGACGAGTGGGCGGCTTTGCATGAGGCGTAACACCACGAACAAGGGGGAACTTTCAAATTTCTTCCTGCGATAATGGCTGGTTTCCTGTCGGGATTATGACATCGCCACGCTATGGAAAATTCGACCCCCCGTTGCCCTCGCATCACGTGCAGATTTTATCGGTTTAACCGACAGCGATAAGGGTATTTCTCCCGCCATGAATTCCGTTGTTTCATTAGTCACGCATTAATAGCAATCGGTGTAAGGTCGTCTCATGGTCGCTCGATAGTAACTCGTTCTACGTCGAAGCAGACATCGATGATTTTCTCAAATTAATTTTCTAAAAACGATTCTTCTCCTATACGATCGAACCTCGGTAACTCGAATCTCAGGCGAAGGGAAGAATTAGAATTTTTCGAATTATAGACGTTATCGAATTTTCCGAGAGAAGTTTGACGAATGGAAACGACATAAAGAGGGTAAAGAGGAAAATGACTTTTTGCAAGGGTTGACGTTTTCTGAATGCAGGAGATCCAAAGAAGAATAGATCGTTTGGTTTTCTGGAGCGTCATGTTTGGTACGAAGCACTTTGTAAAATTGGAATTTTGAAATTGTGAATTGGGATTTGTGAGACCACTATAGTACGTATAAGGTTTGGAGAGAAGGTAATTTGGAAATTGAATACTGAATGATATTTCTTTTGTATAGAAATTCCAAAATTCTATACAATTTCTTACCGTGATAAATTACTTTAATAAATTTCATAAAATAATCATTCTCAGAATTTATTTTCACTTATGCTCCTTTTTGCAAATGTTCCAAAAGCTGTCAGTTTAGTTATACGCTACGATACTTTATCTCAGAAGGTTTTAGATCAAAGGACGAGATCGATTTAGTTTGATATTTGAATGGCACACGGGGTGAATATTAGAACGAGAACTTCTTCACGATCTCCTGAGAGGCACGATTCTCGATTAATTTACGACATTCTAGATCGATGCAGTGCTATCTGGGAAATTCAGGTCGCGGCCCTCTTTATCTTCCATCGACTCGCTTTGGTTATTAGCAATCTTCCCCTAACGAGACACTTGCTAATTGTATTTTCATAATCTTAAAAGTTACTGCTTTGACACCAAGGGATTTTAACGAATCGAGTGGTTCGTTTGGGTCTTTGCTCGATCTTTGTGTTTTGTAATTAATTGATCCACTCATTCTTTAAAGAACCCAAATTTAAGAGAAAACTTTTATTTCTTTATGTTATAGCATATCTTTATCTTATCAATTCGCATAATGGAGGAAACTAGATTTTAGCGATACGTGGACTAATGTTAAATTTAGCAATGGATGTGTTTCGTATACAGTGGCTTTTGAGTTATAGTCAAATGCCACAACCTAAAGGTTAAAATGTATAATCGAATAGAATACGAATAGAATACGAATACATGTTAGGAAATTTAAATCAGCATTACCTATCGGTCAATATATTCTGTTCGTACGTTAGATCTTAAAACAGGAAATACATAGTTGTCCAGATAGCTACGAAAGATACAGATACGTCATTGTATTTATTATATTAGGTCGTCCGAAAAGTTTCTTTCGTTTTATAAGGAAATAATGGATGCACAACATTTTCCGTTTTATATTATTTTATCGAATTACGTATGATCCATTTTGTTCTATCAAGATAAAGATTACAACGTTTGATAGATTAGGTTTCATGTTTGTATAAAGATTCATCGTTGTAAAAGACGTGTCTGTGAAAGAAAGACACTTTCCGGACAACCTAATAGCATTTACGTTTGCGTTACGTAGCATTAACTAATTAGATCCAAATACATTAAACTTCGTATCATTTAGTAATAATTTATAATAAGTACGAAGATGAAATGCAAAACCCGATGAGAGAAGATCTTCATTGGAGGATAAGTGTATATGCTAATGCCTTTTGTAGTTACTATCATCGTAAAATTTGTCAGGTTTAACAATTTCTATTTTTCGATGTGTCCATTTCGGGTTGAAAAGTGAGAGAGCTCGAGTACTCGAAAACTTTTCTCTTTATGTTTCAAACCCGACCATCGTTTGCCTTGTTTTGTGTCCAGGTCTGACAAAACGGATCGCAAAGGCATGGCCAGCAGTACGGAGGATTACGGGTCGGAATTACAGGAGCTGCAGTGGGGTGGTGGTAGCGGGTCGCACTTCCTGCGCAGCGGCACTCACTTCCTGAGAAGCGGCACCGGTGGTTGCTACGAAGCTGAGGATTTAGAGTCCACCAGCAGGCATCATGGTGGTCAACACAGGGGATATTATAGCCCCCCGGGTACGAGTTACACGATCGTCGAGAGACCACCAAGTGCTCCTCATCACCATTCCTCGCACACCACACCGTATAGGCACAGGGGACACGCCACTGGAGGCTCTGGTGCTATTTCGCCGGAACAGGTGCTTAGGTAGGTTCTCCAATGCTCATTTTTAGACTTCTTATAACTGATTTGTCTATTAACCTGTTAACCAAGTCTCTTATGCAGAAAGTTCGAAATTAAGCTAACAGAATGACAATTTGATAGAGATATATTCATTTCGACTACGTTGCTATCAGTTTTTGCAAATGTGAGTGTAGTAAAGCATTATAGGAATTTCGTTCTGTTATCCAGGGTTCAGAACATAAAAAGTTGGGATTAATGTATTTTATATTGTTTTTAAACAACAAAATGGTTATTTAACGACGGAAAGATTGGGTTATAAATAGCTTTTACAATGATTTATGTTGATTTGAACAAATGGGATTATTACTAGGAAGTTGCAATGTGGCTATTTTTATTCACTAGATTAGAGGATAGGGTATCGATAGAATATTCTATTATGCGATTAGGAAAGACAAAGTTTCTGAATTAATCAGGTAGTCTGCAGACCTTCAGTCCTAGATCACGTTTAATTTAAAATGATGCAATGAACGCTATAGATCGAGTCTTCTTTTTATCTAGTCCACTCACCAGATAGAAAATTATATTGTTAAAGTTAGTGGTTACCAATAAAATTACGATTGTATTATCACAGAACGGTGTCATTAAGCCAGAATTAACGATATATTACTAAATTAAATTTAAAAAATTCAGATGAAATTTCACTCAAGATAACCTTTAAAGGTCCCAATTAATTATAAAAAAGTAATATTGAAATTTCATCACAGACTTTTTGGAAATGGTGTGTCCGAGCGTCGACAGGGCGATAGGAGAACGCCGGCGTCTTCGCCGGCGAGTGTCGCCGCTGTTCGAAGCACGCCATCGTCAACGTCCCAGCAGCAACAGCAATCGCAGCAGTCGCAACAATCGCAGCCGAATCCCGCGAATCCTCCGACATCACCGAGCTCTCAGCCATTGAGTTTACAGGAGCTCACCGTAAGGACAATCACCATGACGAGAGATCCACCGGACTCTCACCATGGCTTTGGGATCTGCGTGAAGGGTGGCAAGGACGCAGGTGAGATCCGAAGTACCTTCAGGCTACCTCCATCGCCGTACTTCGCGCCTCAAGATCGAGGTATCTTCCGACAACTGTGACTTTCATTGCCGCTCGTGTCTTGCTATACGCGCGTCGTGGTGCTCGATGATTTTGAATTGCGATTCATAGCGAAATCGAATTTTGTTTTAAATGAAATTCACAAGAAAGTTGTGCGATAGATATTTCTTTTGATGCTTCCTTAGCAATATTTTATTTATAAAATGTTAAAAGTAACATTGAATTTCATAATGAAATTTAAATTCATAACGAAATAGCGAAATATTTTTTGTTTCTTTGCACTGTTTGATTTGCTTCTTTGTACTGTTTAATATGTTTCTTTGACATTTTCTTTTTGCTTATATTTTGATCATAATATGTAAATGGATACATCTCTAAATAAAAGTTTTAGAAATAACTGAGAAATGTTAAGCAATTGTTAGAGGAATATCATTGGAATTGACATTTTATGCGACAACAGAAGTAGCCAATGCATAAGTTCTATGTATATATTGTAACGTATATGTAGTAAGTATGTATGTCAATACATTAGTAGGTTTGCTATAAAGTGTATAAAGTTTCACGATAAGATTATTTAGAAACGATTGGTCGATACAAAATCGCAATTTATGTCTTCGCACCACGACGGTCATTGTCGATTTTCTCTATCGTATTTCTAAGCAGACTTAGCCCTGCTTCGTTGGTAATCGACGTATCATCGACACTCTGTGCTTCCTGTGCTTCAGCACAGCTGTCACGTGTCTTTCATTTTCACCGTTGTCGTTCTCGTGACGAATCTTCCGTTAAGCGAATGAAACAATTTCGTCCATAGCAACGATGAAAGTAATAAAGCAACTCACTTCTTTTACGATGTCCTTAAACTCAGTTTTCATTGCACAATTTGAAGTTCAGACTTCAAACTATATTCCTATCTGAACAAACGTATAAAATGAATGTTCTTCGGGAACAGTAACTTGTCCTATTACTTTTATTAATAAAGTTTTTTTATATACGTAATGGACACATTTCCGGTCAGATATATATTTATTAAATTTATATAACAACAATACGTATGTATTTATATAATAAATATGCGTATTATATACGTATGTTTTAAGTATAATTTACGTACTTTTAATACATATTCATTATTTTTATTATATAAATTTATTTATTATATGCACGGTCATATGTTTATTATGTAAATCTCCTGTATTTTAATTCAAAATTAATTTTTCACAAAAATTCCTATAACTGAAAAAATATTCAATATTAACTTATTGTGGTTCAACGGTCAAGCGATAGCATAAAAAAGGCATATTTTTGTATTATGTGACAGTCGTGAAATGTGTTACCAGGATGAAAAGGAATTTAAAAATTAATTTTCTATTCTGTTAACTTCCACAATGGAAAGTATTAAAATGTAAATGTAGACAAGTAAATGTGGACAAAACTGTCGTTTGAGAATTATTAAATGAAGTGGCTGTTGGCGATAATGTTCGATTTCAATTCAATTGAAAGACGATCGTCACGGGAACGAGAATCGGAAAACAGGGAATGGCGAGGGAGAGAAAACATGTTTTCGATCATTAAGCGTCATTTCCATTCCAGCTACGGTCTCTGGGGGAAACGAAAGAATGTATTACATTCGGATCGCGTTTCGCCTCGATTTTCTCCCCTCTTCGTGTTGTCGTTATTTTCTTTTTTTTATTGCGCGGAAAGAAAGTCACCATTCGTTTTCGTCGACCGATGGACAGTACGATGTTGAAAAGGAAAAGAAAAAATAATTGAAACCGACATGGTTCTCTTATTTTCATCGACTTGGCCTATGCTGGAGTTCTCTGGAAAACATAAAAATATTGATTTAAGAAGCAAAATCAGATAATTATTAATTATATCTATTTGAGAGTCGAGTTCGATTTGACATACGTTTAATTATATGGCAAAGAATTAATAGAATTTTCTTCACGACATATAACTTCCTTACTTCGTTAATTTTCATTGTTAAAATATATAAAATTAGCAATGACTGTTCTTTCGAATTAAATGAATATATCAACAATTATTACTAAATATTTATACTAACGCTACAGTGATTATCACCTGTATAATAACTATAAAATATAGAAGATATTACAACCAATTAAATAAAAATTGTATTTCAAGGGTGACGATCAAATAACCTGAGAATTCTTTCACTGATTAGCAGAAAGCATAATTAGTATACGATAGCAGGCGACCTTAGGGGATCTTAAGGCGCGAATGCGCCTTCCCCGTTTCAAAGTATTTACAACGGGACGACCGTTCGACGGAGTAATTAGCGATACCAGCTAATTGACCAACGATACTGCGAGCGTTTAATGACGCGGCTCTAATTGCCGGCGGTCATCGCGTATTTTTCTTCCGCGTTCGCCAGTGAAACGGATTAACCGGATGTATAATTGCACGTAGTGTATCCGGCGGTGTAATCAGTTCAGGGAATCGTATCGTTCGTTTCTGTTGAGGAGCACGCGAGGATTGTAAAAGAACGAGAGGAAATCCAAGTCTCACCTTGGCCTCCTCGATTTTATTTAAGTCGACGCATTGAATAATATGCGAGCGTACGCGCGTTTTAAATAGTTGTCGAGAGGAGGTAAGCTACACGCTACCGATACTCGTTAAATATTAATTACACCACGGAATGTTTAGTAATTTAGAGCAAAGGGGGTGGGAGACGGGATAACAGGGATGGAATTCGGCTGGTTTACTTATCGTCTTTTATATCGGACGCTTGTTTATCGAGCCTGGTAAACAACCGTCTGGTAAATTTCCCGAGGAATTTGTTGCACGGATGAAGAGGGTGGTTTATTTCGTCGGCTCGATATCGGAGGGTCAGTAGGGGAGCACAAAATAAGCGTAACATGTTGGTTTTTATAGCAAATGAAAAAGCAACAGAGACTTTCTGAATAGGTAATACGAACCTTTTTCGACCCGAGTTATTTCTGTCAAGGGAAAAAATATTTCTTTGCGTATACTCGTTATTCCTCGGGACTTAAAAAACAAGAAGATTTCAATATTGTTGAGAAAAGATAATTCAGAAATAGATATTTCTAATGTTTCCATTCACAATCATTGAGATTTACATGGGATCTGAACTCTTTCCGATCTCGATCGTTTCTTTCAAAGGAAAAAGAGATATTTCTCTAAAATCTCAATATGGGAGAATCTTTCCACTAAAAATTCAGTATGCTGTCAATCAATTCCACGATGAAACGATTTTTACGTTTGATCTTGATTAAATATATTCTATCTGTAATCTAAGAAAATCAAATTCTCTTGGGCGTAGAACAGAAAAGAGAGAAAGAACAGTCATTACGAAAGATAATAAACGATAAAACAGGATCAGCGAACGAACTGGAATTCGAAGTTCGATAGAGATAACGGAGAATGGAAGAGGTTGGTGTGGTTCTCCAGAGAAGTTCCTCGCGTACGCCAAAGATAAATAGAAATGTCCCCGTCCGGGATCCACGTTCCGCGGATGCCAGGAGCATCCCCGACATCGCGCTCTACGCTTTACGTCGTCGGGGTCCGGTTTCACGGTTTCGAGTCTCGTAAACTTCACGCTTGATCACGGCGTATCGCACATGCACCGTAAACGATCGCTTCATGCTTGGTCCTCGTCGAGATCTCGGGCGTGAAACCTTTTCTTCTTTTTTTTTTTCTATTCTTTTTACATTTCTTCTTTTGGTTCGAAACGCAAAAACGTGTCGTGTGAGCCTGTAAATCGTCGTGGATCCCACGGGGGCTAGAAACGACATCTGGGTGTATCGTCAGCTTCTTCGAAAATTTTGGTCAGTTAATTAGAAAGTCGAGAAATGTTCTCGCAAAAGAAGAACATTTAATTATGATCCAACATTTTAATCGCGAAATTTATGGCTGAAATTCTAAAATTTCTCGCAATTTGTTTGTTCACGCGTAGAATTCTATGTGAAGGAAATTAATTTCGAAAATTATTTTGATTAAGAAATTAATAAATTTGGAAGTAGATTTACTTCGGTGGATTTACATTTTTAGATATAAAATCTATAGTTGTATTAATCAGAAAACTACTGAATACGAAAGACATTTAAATTCAAATGTCCGATTAGGAAATTTATAGTTAAAATCGTCGAATTTCGCTTGATTTGTTTATCCATAAGAATTCTCTTCGCGTGATTTATTTGAAATATTTTTGTAATAATATCGAGTTGGAAATTTCTCGCCGAAGCGTGAATCAGTATTCATGGAATTATTTATAGGACTATTACTTGTTCAGTGGAATCGAAGAATGCATTAAATTAAAATACCACAGGCAGACAGATCGAAAGTTTTTTCAGCGCTGTCCGCGAGTAGGCTCGCTAGAGCATGGACGAGCGATAAAAAAGTAGGACGCGTCGAATGATCGATTAGTGGTAATTTTTCGAAGAAACAATTGCGAAACCTTGGCGTCGTTTCGCTCCGGTCGAAATCGAAATAAGCCAACTGGCGGTGTGTCTTTCTTGTTTTCTGTTTCGCTGTACCAGAAGCGCAGTCAGGTAACTCATCAACCATACGAACCAAAAGGCAGAGAGAATGTAAGGAAAAAAGAACCAAAACGAACGAGATACTGTGTGAAAGAGATTGAAAGGAGGAGAGAAAGAGAGAGAAAGAGGAACATTAGCATTATACAAAGCAAAAAGCAACAAGATCACTGGGAGATTGAGACGAATGGCTCGAAATTTCAAACGGCCAATGACCTTCATTTTCCAATCTTTAATTTCCATTGCGATATTCGATATTAATAAATTCATAAAATAATTTCAACCGAATCGATCAAATTTCTTGCACGATGTAACGATTCTAATTGACGACCGCAAGGTAGATAAGTTTCATTTTTTACAGAGAAAGAGTTCGGTATATTGCTGACTAAAGGGCCAGTAGCAAAACTGATTCTTATCAAATTTTTCAAATTTTTCCACCTGTACAATAACGCGTTTCAGTAATCAGAAGCAGGACTTGAGAAATGATAAAATTGATGTTATAAA